AAAGTTGTCAGTTGAGAATGCGCGCCGCCAGGTTGGCGGTGTGGTCCAGCCGGGGCGCCTTGATCGCCTCCAGGTGCTGGACGATGGTGTGCTGCAGCAGCAGCAGCTCGCTGGCCAGGTCGCGCACCGAGGTGCGCAGGAAGCGCAGGTAGGCGCGCTCAAAGGCGAGGTAGCCGGCCCGGGCCTCCGCCGACTGCGGCAGGTGGTGGATCGCCTTCAGGTGGGCGGCCCGCTGCTGGGCGTAGGCCAGCCAGCCTTGGCCGAGGAGCAGCTCGCCGATGAAGTGCTTCAGCGAGCGAATCGTCTTGAGGACCTTGCGCTGCACCGCCAGGCCGGTGTTGTGCGAGTCGGCGACCGCCGGGGCGAGCAGGTAGATGGCCACTGAGAGGCGCCACAGCTGCTCCTGGGCGGTGGTGAGCAGCGGACGGAGGCCGGCGGAGTGCAGCCGGACGATGGTGGCGTTCTCCGGGAGGGCGCCGGTCGGCAGGAGGTACGCCTGCCGGTGGAACTTGGGCGTCGCCAGTGTTAGTGAGGTGCCTGAGTTGGCATTGGCAGTTGGCGATGGCACGTTGCGGTAGAGCTCGTTCAGCTGGTGAACCGCCTCGGTGGTGGCGGGCAGTGGCGGAAAGTGGCGGTCCAGGTCCGCCTGCAGAGTGCTGATCATCGTCTCCTCCACCGCCTCGGTGAGCTGGAGGTCGGCGAGGCGGTGGAGGGCGAAGACCGCCTCCACCATCCACCGCTGGACGATGTCCTCGAGGCGGCCGATGAACTGGTGCTGGTGGTACGCCTCGATGCCGCCGTTTGCCTTGGCCCGCTCCGCGGTGAGGTGCTTCTTCAGCAGCGCCTGCAGGCGTGCTCGCTGGCTGTTGTCGTTGGCTGGAGTAGCTTGCGTCCAAAGAGAACCAGAACCAGAGCTGCCAGAGCTGCCGGAGCTGCCAGAGCTTGCTGAGGAGTAGGACATTCTGCTGCTGTTGCTGCTGCTGTTTGCGTTGCCAAACAACAAACCAAAAATGGAACAAAGACAAGCTAAACAGGGAGATAGTATCAAAGAAAAAAGGAAATTAGAACTCGGGAAAATAGAACCTCAACAAGAGAAATAGAACTTACCTGCTGCTTTGACCGATCTGCTCGGCGGCCGAGCGCAAAATGGAGGGAACCAGATTACGAGAATCCACAAAAAAAGTTTTCCCGGAATGTTTCCCGGCTCACTTTTCGGAAAGACTGCCCAATCTTCGTTTCTTCAGTTTTCAAAATCTTCAGGAAGCTGATTGAGGCAATTATCATCAACTGTGGTGGTCAGCACAAACAACTGATGAGCAGACACTGAACGAGGTCACCACCACCACCACCACCACCGCCACTTTCACTACTTCTACTTCTACTTTTTCTCCCTTTTGTTATCTTCAGACCTTTCTCCTATCTTCAGCTCAAGCACCTTCCTCATTCCAAGAAAAGGAGAGAGTAAGGACAACAGAAAAGTCCTTCGAAGAAGAAGAAGAAGAAGAAGAAGAAGACAGCCGCATCGAAGTGATCACACACGTTTATCTCCTTTCCTTCACGTCTTATCACCATAAACTGCTCATCAGCTCTATTCACTTGACATTAACCTCATTACGCCAATTAGCCACTTGCAACGCCAACAACTCTCAAGTGGGCTCTTTCACTTTCTCTCTTTCAGTTTCTTTCAAATTGCCGCTCAATTAGCCTTCGATGTGAGCTTCGGAAAGCTCCTTCTTCATCTCTATCTCTATCTCTCTTTTGTCTATTCGACTTGCATTCTAATGAAGCGGACTTCATTGCACTGTCAGACTTTTTCTTGTTGCGTCGTTGTGCACATCTGCCTTTTCGTTCACCCTCAGAAAACATGGCTTCAGGAACACTTCTTTGGCCCTCAGCAGGCGTCCTTCTTCTCTTCACCATCAGCGTGATCTTTGCCGAAGACCAACAACAACCGCTGACCACCAACAACAACAGTAACCAGGTGAGCTCAGACTATTCATAAACTCCNCTTTTAAATTGCCGCTCAATTAGCCTTCGATGTGAGCTTCGGGAAGCTCCTTCTTCATCTCTATCTCTATCTCTCTCTCGTCTATTCGACTTGCATTCTAATGAAGCGGACTTCATTGCACTGTCAGACTTTTTCTTGTTGCGTCGTTGTGCACTTTTCTTTCCTTTTCGTTCACCCTCAGAAAACATGGCTTCAGGAACACTTTTTTGGTCCTCAGCAGGCGTCCTTCTTTTTGCCTTCAGCGTGATCATCACCGCCGAGGACCAAAAACCGCTGACCAACAACAACAGTAACCAGGTGAGCTCAGACTATTCATAAACTCCATTACTTACCTTTTTTCCTTCACCTTCAGCACATCATCACCTACCTGACTCGGGGCGCCACCGCCCCCGGCAGCAGTTCCTCCTCCTCCTCCTCTTCGAACCCCTCCTCCCACTGCCCAAAGTGGCTCAACTGCACCGCCGGCTTCTTCGACGAGGGCAAGGACTGCAAGGACGAGTCATCATCGGCGAGTGGAGGCCACAGAACCAACCGCGTCTGCACCTGCATCGCCCACTGCTGCCACGCCTTTGACTGCCGCCACTGGGGCCGCCTGGTCCANCACCGCCGGCTTCTTCGACGAGGGCAAGGACTGCAAGGACGAGTCATCATCGGCGAGTGGAGGCCACAGAACCAACCGCGTCTGCACCTGCATCGCCCACTGCTGCCACGCCTTTGACTGCCGCCACTGGGGCCGCCTGGTCCAGTGTAGGCGCAAGTGCGGCGCCGCACGGCCCACCCGATTCGGCCGCAGCTCCAGCGGCAGCAGTCTGACCAGCAGCTTCGAACAGAAAAGCCCTCAGCCACCGAAATGCGAGAGCAAGTGGAGCGCCTGCGAGCGGGCGTCCAGGCTGGACGTGGGCTGGGACGCCCGCGGCGCCACCGACGCCCAGCGCAACTGCATCGCCCACTGCTGCTACGCCTTTGACTGCCGCCGGGCGCTGGGCTACTGTCGCCATGCCTGCGGCGTGGAGACCTGGGTCACGCCCAGGCCGCTCGGATAAGATCACCTTCAAAACATCTTCATCATCATCACCTTCAAGTCTTTATCATCATCATCATCATCGTGTTAGAGTGGTGTGCTAGCTCTCTTTTGTGTGCGCAGTGTAGTTTGGTTGGTATGTACATTTCAGGTTCAGTCCAGTTCAGTTCAGTTCAGTCCACCACCATCAAATTCATCTTTTGTTGATCATCTCATCCTTCTCATTCCCATCACCCTCCTCATCAATAAATAGTAGTAGAAGTACCTGGTGTGTCGAATCCTAGTGCAGCAGCAGCAGCAACGGCGGCGGTGTATTCCCAATCCTCCTCCTCCAGTCAGATATCAGCATTGCCCTGAAGAACCCCCTGAATCCACGGCACGTAGTTAGCGACCTTGGTGTAGATGCCCGGGTAGCCCTTTCGCGCACAGCCATAGCCGAAGCTGGTAATGCCGAACTGCACCACCCGATCAATGGCCGGATCGCGCATGAAAGCCGGCCCACCCGAGTCACCCTGACAGCTGTCCCGGCCCTCGTCCCCGGCGCAGAGCATCAGCTTCGGGTTGTAGCTTTTCGCTCCGTAGGCGTCCAGGCATTGGCTAAGAAAGGGAAAGAGTTTTAGTCAGAAAATAGGAAATTTAATTACAGTCTCACCTGTCGGAGACGACGGACACGTTGACCGCCTTCAGGTAGAAGGACTGCTTGCCCTTCTCCACCGTCTGGCCCCAGCCCGAGGTGGTGGCCACCGGAAGGGGGACCGGCTCATCCGGCGCCGGTATGCAGATGGTGTTGATCTTCGCGTAGGGAAACAGCGGCAGCGGCCGGTCCTAAAGCGACAAAACAGAAGGTCACTTCCTAACTCCTAAAACTCCCCCCAAAAGAACTTACCAGTCTGAGCAGTGCAATGTCATTATTGGACTTGCTCTTGATGTACCCCGGAAAGACGAAGGCCTGCGCCACCAGCC